TTTAGTGTGTGACGAGGCAGAACTTTGTGCCCCCCCCCCCTTTCCCCTCATTAATATATTCAATTTTCATAGTTTAAGGTAGACTTCAGTTACTCTTTTTACCACCGTTGGGCAACCCATCCCCGGGTATTCCTTACCCCCCTCCCCATTTCTCCTCGCCTAGACACTCACACATCAACGAACAGGACCCCACGTGAGCCCCGCAGGAAGAAGACGTCCCGTGAAAAGGAGGACACCTGAAAACGAATGCCCCCGATTGACCACGATTACCCACGATAATCGGGGGAGAAATCAGGACGTTTGGCAGCCATCACTCGTGCCACAGTTGCCCCAACGAGTTTCCCGGCCCCTTAATATAATTTCCCCCCAACGGTGAGCCTGCATTACATTAATTTTCTATTGTTCTCATTTAAGCCCCCTATCACTTATTATTTTTCCAGTCGGCCCCCCCTCACTTCTCTTCTTCTGCCGGTTTAGAGACGCCCTTTTTTTCTTATATAATTTCGCGTAGCCGCAAGTGAGTTAGCCTTACCCCCCACCCTCGAGTTAATTAGTTGGTAAAAGGCCTTAATTATTTGTTGTATTGATATTTGTTGTAATGAGACGTGAAGAGAGTAAAGTTTAATCTGCATCAACCCCTCCCCGAGTAAATATTCAAACCTCTCTCCCTCTTATTATTTCAGGTCCTCCAGTAAATCATAGCAAGTCCCCCCTAATAGTTAGACGAGAATAAATTCCCTGATTTTCGTGCCTTCGACGGGAATATTCATATATTTATTCCCCGGCCAAGGTCACAAGTGACATCTTCATTTGTACTCTGTAACTTGGTGAATTCGGCCTGAAGTCAAAAGTTCAATTGTTTAAATGATGAGATACTTCTTATTTCATTTGGTTTATGGTATAACTTTTCAATTTATTCCTTACAATCCCTTCTAGGAGAAGGTTTCGCGGTTCTGGATATACTAATTTCCTAGCACTTTCGACTGACTGCAAAAAGCCATCTAATTGGCCTGCATTTTCTCTACCAAAATTACGTGCCATTTGAAGGGCACCCTGCGGATCAAGGTGTGTCAGAGATTCGCGGTTTTTCCGGTTATTTTTCGGTGTCCCGGCATCTTCTAGATATTCTGTAAAACCATTTCTTTTCCGCTCAATCTCTTCTCGGTGTAATCGCTCAGTTTCTAGACGTTGCTGATATCTTGAATTTTCTTGTTTAATTCAGCCAGATTATCGCGAAGATTATCGAAGAATCAAAATAGTCATAGTGTCCCTGATTGCTGCATCTCACGTTGTACATTACGACACCTACTTTCAGGATTAGGAATGAAACACCCTGCTCTTATTGATCCATCCTAAAAAAAAAAACAATTAGACGCACAAAACGATTGTAGAGGTGTTTCGTTTTCTTCTACCTCTCCTTCCCTCTGTTGAATTTCCACGATCACATCGAAGGAATTTCCGGCTACCTCTTGTAAAGGCTTCGCTGGACGACATTCTAGATTTACTTACTGATTACCGAAGACAGCGTGCAATGCTCTCCTTTTCTCATTTCAATTCCCTCTCAGTTCAGCTCCAGATAATTGACTTGGCCAAACATCGTCATTCCCCAGGTGGACGTCAGCCTGAATGCTGTGATGGAATGATTACCTATAACTCCGTTGCAGATTAACATTTCTAATAATGTTCCCATCTGAATTGAATAAATTTTTTTTTACTCCGCGTGCTGCGAATAAAAAACAATCAAATTCAAATTGCTCTGGTCGTATAATCTTACTTGATTATTAGCTACTCATTGACTCTAACCTTCTCTGTCAGGATAGGTCCGCTGTAGTAACCATTTTCATACACTGAAGTAGTAGGGTAGGTCCCCTCACTTCATTGTATTAGCTTTTTTAATACACTGAAGTACTAGGATAGATTTCCTCTGTGAGAAATCCACGAAAAATCTTCGGCTGGTTTACCTTATGGTAATCTTCTCGCTCCTTCAAATACAAAAAGTATTTACGATGACGACCAGTGTAGATTCAAGTAGTTCAATGTTTCGGATATTATCGCGTTCTGATCTCGCCGTGATAGACAGTGGTTGATCAGGCCGCCGTCAAAATTGCGCTGCTAGCAAAAATGACATTGACCCGAGCGGATCGGTTCGTTGACAGGGACAGATCACTCATTGATAATTTGGAAATGAATATCTCAGGGAGAATGAATTCGTTTAATATTTAAAATTTTCTCTCACTCGTAGACCCTTTCGGGTCTTTACGATTCGTTCCCTTCCCACCCCCCAACCCCCTGTACCGCATTTGCTGAAGGGAGGGAAAACCTCATCTGAGGGAAAAACCTGCCCTGGTACTGTCGTCCTTTTGACAGGACTACCGCTCGGCAGTGAAACCGTGAGATCAGAGCGCTATAAATTTTTGACCGCCGGTGCCCGGGATAGAACCCGGATCCTTGGCATGCTAGTCTAGCACTCTAACCGCACGGCCACTACCGTCGGTGAATTCGTTTAATAATTAAACGATTTATTAAATAAATAAAGTCTTCTGTTTGATTCCGTAGGTTTCAGGCATTATTAGTTATTATATGTTACAAGCGACTAAACCAATCGTATTACTGATTGATGACTGTGTCTGACAAACTCACCCAGAGGCAATGACATTGCGAGTTTATATTTCATCGCCGATTCGATTGCAACAGGTCCTCTGTCTTTGTTGCACACCTGCAGATGCATTGGGTGACATTCCAAGTGCAGGCAAAAGCCGTAGCTGTTGACGGGGCGAAGTGCTGACGCTGCACTCAGTGATCCACATTATAACGAATATACAGGGACATTATCCACGAACATTCTGGTTAATTTATATTTTCACATTATTGCCTGATTCAACGTTATATGCTTTGCATAATATGTGCAACGTCGTGTGTTCTCATAATACTCAGCTCAATGAGAAATTACTTAATGCTATTACTTAATTTAATGCTATTTTTGGCGCATAAGAAAATCAATGGCTTTAAGTATTATAGTAATTCTTCAACTGAGATACAGTAGCACAAAACTGACATTCTGAGTCATCATTGGATTGATTTAAAATAAGGATCGGAAGGATTCTAAAAATACCCATTTTTTTAATTACTTTATTTTTCAAATTTTCTTACGAATAGGAATTCCGATTAATAGGATCATTCTCATCTTCGAGTTCAGTCAAGAGCCATCCAGACGCCTGTTTAAGCCGTGCCACGAGGGTTTCCATCCATTTCTGTATCTGAATTATGGCTTTGCTATCGTCAAATCCCGACCAAAAAAAAATACAATTTTGCTTGCAAATGGTCTGAAATGTAACAATGAAAAAATTTTTTTGAAACGTTATGTACGTGTGTATATCCTGGCGAGGGTCGATTTTTTTGCTTTAAACGAGCAGATGGTAGCAGTTACGCCACTGTAAATCCCAGGTAGGAAATGCCAGTGCACAAGCCTGGTGTCGACAAGCCACGGCGCCCGTGACGATGCCAGCGTGGTCTGGGATGCAGACCACTGCCAGCTGATTATGAACACCAACGCTTCCGATGAGCTCAGTGCAGTTGTTTACAAGTCGAGAGTAACTTTCATGTTTAGGGCAGTGCCCTCAGTGCGCGCTTGCTATCTCAGCAGATGTATATCTTCTTCCCCCTGTCCCCTCTGTCCGGCATTTCCTTGGCACACGTCCTCACGGCAGCAAGTTCTGACTGGAGCACAGTCGTATACGAGTTCAGTCCAAGGGCTCTTGTAGTTGAAAGTCCGTCAAACCAGATTGCTGTCCCTGCTCGGTCGCCAATTCTGGAGCCATCTGAGTACCATACCAGCCCTTTGGTGACGGCCATCCTATATCACCCCTTGCCTGGATTGCCTCATTACCAAAGTTGTCCTTGACATCCTTCTGAAAGTGCCATTGCGGTCCGCAAGCATCTCCTCCGCGAGAGAGCAGTCCCTGAAGATCCCCATCCGCAGCACGGATAGCCGCATGACCACAACTAGCTCCTTTCCACTGGCCTTCTAGCCGCAATCTCGCTGCCGAGATTAGTGCCACTTCCTTTATATAGAGGTTAAGCGGCTGCAGAAAGATCAGAGTCTCCAGTGCCGAGCTGGGGATCGTTCTAAGCGCCCCTGTAATCCCCAGCATAGCGAGCCAGCCCGTCGTATCTACCATTCCCCTATGGTAGGCCTTGTTCATAGCCGTCCACTAGACAACAGCAGCGTACATCAGCTGTAGGACCATTCTGCCCGTGTCGATCCATTTTACGACCCCTGACCTTAGCCCCCACGTGTTTCCAAACATCCTCCTGCATGTCCAATACGTCATGACTTTATTTGTCTGCATGGTGATGTACTTTTCCCAGCTGAGCTATCTGTCAAGCCAAACGCCCAGGTATTTTATCTCCCCGTAAAGACCAGTCCTGTGGTATCAATACAGTCGGTCTACGACACACCTCCTCCGATTCGTGAACAACACCAACTCCGTCTTGCATGGGGAATTCGACCATGAGAGGGGCACCACCGCTGAACATAGTCCAGCGCTTCCTACATCTTTCGGTGTTGGATGCCCTCGCTCCTACCAGTTACAAGCAAAACCACATCGTCTGCGTATCCAATGGTCTTCATCCCCAAACCCTCGAGCGCAGTGAGGAGTCCATTTACGACGAGAAGCCATAGCAAGGGCGAAATGACTCGCCCCTCAGGGCAGTCCCTCCCCGCCAGGGCCACAACCGTCCTGTTCCCGAGAGAGGAGCAGACCAACCTGCCCAACTTCACAATTTTCGAGGCCAAGTTGTAATCTGAACCGCCCCCTCTTGGTCGTAGTCGATCCAGTCAAGAGCACCCCTGCCTGTATGACTGAGTCCGGGCAGTGCACCTGGATTAGATATTCCAGGATTTTATGTAGCTGGGTGATAGCTGCAGCATTGAGGAGCTTAATTCCGTCCAGACCTTATGTGGGTCCGCTGGAGAAGGCCCTGCGGAGCCTGGCCGCCCTTTAACCCTTCGATTTCTTGATGTGGTTTTTGAACACCTTTTGTACTTTCCTATCCTGAGTCCAGTCCTCATCGCTATTAGGGCCGAACGCTTGGTTCCAGCGACGCCTGGTCAGTCCTTGTTGCCTTCCGAGTTCTCGATTCCTCCACATGACGTTACTCCCCTGTTTGATCGGGCAGGCTGTCTGGAAGGACTCAGTTAGGGCCCTATAAATTCTCTCCACTTCGTCCTCTAACCTGTCCGTATTCCTGGGCCTCACACATCGTTCATCCAGCCTTTCCTTCAGTTCCCTTCTGCAAGAGCTCCAGTCGGTAGCCTTGGAATTCTTACGCATGAGTCCCTGCTCCGTCACAGCAATGCCTCTGATTTCAAACTTTTTGCGTCGGTGATCAGAGAGTGAATCCTCATAATTCACTCTCCAGTTCACGCACCAGTCCACCAGTCTGCTATCGCACAGTGTAATGTCAATGACACACTGGCACCTAGTAGTAACAGACGTAAGGCTGGATCTTCTATTTAGGCTCTAAAGATCCGCGTCTGTGAGGTATTCCAACTGGGCTGTTCCTCTGTTGTTGTTCTTGTTGCTCTCCCATACAACATGGTACGACTTTGCATCGCAGCCTATGATAAGCGGCAGCTTGTGAGACCTGCCGTAACTGACAAGTTTCTGCAGCTCCTTGGTAGGCGGTAGTTCTGCAGAGTCATCCGGGAGATTCACCGACCAGAAGACGATGTCTTCGATCGGTCCTCCTCCATGTACTCGAACCATAATTGTCCTGTAACAGAAGTTTACCATCCTCCTGGGCCTTTTCAGACAGCAATGCAAGCTCTGGGTCCCAGGCTTTCCCGAGAGAAGAACATTCTTCCGCAGCCAGATCAAAGCCTCTTACGGAGCCCTCGTAAGACCAGGGCTCCTGTATTAGGCATATATATATATGTTTGCCCCACTACGAGGCTGCGACTCAACAGGGCACTCGCAGCCTTGCAGTGCTGCATGTTAATTTAGCATATATTAGCATATCCCTACGTATGGTAGGGTTATGTCGGCTCTCCGCGCGTTGTCCTCCTAACAAGCGAATAATCAAGATGAGTACTACTCAATCCAACAAAAAAAGAAGTAATACTTCAGGATCTCAACCCACTCCGACTATTTCGCCACGTGCTTCAGTGAGAAAAGGACAAGAAGATGAAACTACTGAGTTGATCTCTAATGATCATACTCCACCCATCATCGTGGAATCTAAAAACTTAGAGTTAAAAGACTTAATCAACCTAATAAAAAACAATGCTGGCAACCAAGATTTCAGAATCAAGTACCAGGGTTCGACGTCGTCAATCCAACTCAAATCGAAGGCTGACCATGCTAAGATGGCGAAAACTTTCCTAGATGCCAATCTTAAGTTCTATACCTACGGATTCAATCAAGATAGACTTAAGAAATTCATCATAAAAGGACTGCCTGCATCGTTCTCTGAGGAGGACATAAAGGAGGACCTTAAAACCCATGGAGTTGATGTAATTGCAGTGAGACAATTCATAAAAAAAAATAAAGAACCGTTCTCAACCATAAAACTACCCATATACTCAGTTACAGTGTCACCAGAATCATCACTTGCCAGCTTCTCCAACATTAAGACAATTTTATATCATACCTTCCTGATTGAGAAATTCAAATCCAATGGACAGCCAACCCAGTGCTTTGAATGTCAATCCTTTGGCCACGCGAGCACACACTGCAGCCGCAGCCCAAAATGTGTAGAAAATGCGGAGAAGCCCATGATGCAAAAAGCTGCACCAGTGAAATGGTTAAATGCACCAACTGTGGGGAAAATCATGTGGCCAGCTTTAGAAAGTGCTCATCCCGTGTTAAGTACATGGAGAACTCCACCATGAGGAAAGGGAATGCAGGAGCTCAGTTATCGGCTCCACCAAAATCAGCTAAAAATAATCATCTGGGCTCAATAACCTCATCCAAATCGTATGCAAATGCAGTTAGTAACCAACCATCCTCAAGCAGCCTGAAGGAAGCAACTCTATCATCCAAATCACTCCAGCTCAATCAGATGGAGAAGCTACTCTACACATCACATGAAACTGTTCTGGACTCCCCAACACAAGCCAATCTGGGTCGGCAGCAGCTACTCCACCAGCCACACAGAACATCGAAAACCAGAAACAGAGACCAGAAACCTTTTCTTTCTCGAGTCACTAACGATATAAGTAACATAAAACTCTGCATAGAGGATGCTGGTGCGATTGTTACAGAGTTAGTACAACTAAGCATATTCCAATTAATTGATAAATTAAAGGAAATGATCAAATTATTAAAAACCGCTGAGTCGCCTATTGATCGCCTTACGATAATAGCCTCGTACTCAGACATTTTTGACGTTAATCCTCCAACATGGCGCCAGTAAAACCTATTAACATCATTGCATTGAATATTAACTCTCTTAAGCCGAAGCTACCAGAATTATCACTCATAATTGCTGAATTAATGCCAAAGTTATACTATTTTCAGAAACGAAATTAAGTCCTAATATCAAAAAACTTAATTTACCAAACTTTGTATTCATCAGAGAGGACAGATTACAAAAGGTGGGTGGTGGAGTGGCCATAGCCATTCACTCTTCAATCAAATATAACACTCTTCCTCACTCCATTAAATCCAACACGGAATATGTGGGAGTAGAAATTTTTGTAGATAGTAAGCCCATCCACTTATATTCTATATACAATCCCCCGAATATACAGTTGGACGATGAACTATTGAAAATTCTGCTTAAGCCTGGCTGCTCGGCTATAGCAGCGGGAGATTTCAATGCCAAAGATAAGGCTTGGACTCCAGTTGATCCTAACACTTCCGGTAAAATTCTCTCAAACCTTACCTCATCTTCAAATTTAATTCTTTTCGCTCCCGATGAACCAACCCATTATCCGCCTAATTCAAAAACTCCATCCACCATTGATTTACTACTAACAAACAACCAACAATTAATCTCAAATTTTCAAGTTCTTCATGAATCACCATCTGATCACCTACATTTATTATTCTCGATTTTCGGAAAAACTACTGTTGTTCATCCCATCAAGAGATACAACTTCAAGAAAGCCAACTGGAATAATTTTAGAGATCAACTGGACAACTCACTAATTACTGCCAACCCCTTCTGTATATCATCTAATCTAATTGATCAAAACATAGATTCACTTACCAAAAAAATTGTAGAGACTTGTAAATCAAACACCTCAGTATTTCCTCCCCATCGTAAACCCACTCCATTACCAGATCACTTGACAAAATCAATTAAACAGAAAAATTAACTTAGGAACTACTGGCAAAAAAATAAGGATAATTTCTGGTTGAAATCATGGTTAAATAAGCTAACTAAAGAAATCCACACCAAAATTATTGAATGGAAATAGAACGAGTGGGATAACAAACTCAAAAATGTTTCTCCCAAGGATCACACCATCTGGAGAATTGCAAAAAACTTTAATAATACCCCGAGGCAAAAAATTACTAACTTCAATTTAAACAACAAAGTAGTTAGTGATGATGCTGGTAAGGCAGATACTCTCTGTTCTCACTATGCAAACATTCACCAAACTGCCTCTGAAAGAGGGAATCCTTCATTTGAGCAACAAACAAATGCCTTCATTAACAAAAAACTTTATGCTAGCAAAACGGATATCCCGAATGCATCCCTGTGCAATCCCAAAGAAGTATGCACCATGATACGTAAACTAAAAACGAAATCAGCCCCGGGTAATTCAAATTTCCACTATTCACAATACACTGAACATAAATCTCATTCACGATTAATACAGCCTCATAAACCACACAAATACCGAACTACATGATATAGATGTTAATCTAAGATCTTGGTAGTCAAAATAACCACTTTTCTTTTCTACTATTATTCCCCCCCCCCTCCATCCTCCTTCAACCAGCCACAACTTATAGGGTTTTTTTCTGCAAACATTTTCCCTATTATAAATCTCTTCCATACACCCATACACATAATGTTAATTATTACTTAATGCAAACCACTCATGTAAACTTAGGTATAAAAGCCTCATGGCTGGTGGCCTAGTCTTACCAAGCATCATGTACCAAAAGAATATGTAGATACTGTACATATATTGTAAAAACGACGATTTAATAAACGTTTTATAATGTAATGTAATGTGTTAGCTCAGTGGTAAGGCGTAGGCTTCATAATGTTAGGGTTATGCGTTTGAATCTCGGTTGCGGCGGTCAATTTTTAAGTTAATTAATTAGGTTTTTTCAACGACCAATTTATCAGGGAATGATAAATAGAGGCAAAATTGGCTTGTATCTACGATTAAAAAACTAATTATTTCATTTTTGCCTCTATTTTAATCAATAATTGCTAGATAAGTTGAAGGATTGGTTAAGGATTGGATCCCAGGCTCGGCTTGGATTTTACATTCAAGTTTGAATCAAGGTTGGTCCAAGTTTGGCCCAGGCCTGGACTACCTTCATTTTAGTATCTTGGCTCAACCTTGGATCCAGCTCGACGTCCAAGCTTGAACTAGCGTTACAAACCAAGGAATAACCAAGGTTGGTACAATCTTGAATTCCAAGCTTGAGCCAAGCTAGGTTAGTCTGGGTCCGAGCTTGGGCCAAGCTCGGACCAACGGTTAATCCCCACCTGGGTATACGAATCGTTCGATAGTTTAGTGATTAGGCCCTTGATTTGGTATCCGAACGGTTCCGAGTTCAAACCCAACCGTAGGCGGAATATTGCAAGTTAACAAGATCGGTTTTTTTCATGCGTTGTTAAATTAGGATTTATTAGTTAAGGTATAACTAATGAGAAAATGAGCGTATAATGCTTTTATCACTTGTTTTTTTACAATTTTCAATAACAACTAACAACCCGGCTGCTATTGGTTAGCCAATCTTGAGCCACGATCGATCATTTTTATTGTTGTCCTACTGAACCTATATCTCACCATAAAAGCTTATGGATGCGTTCAACCCTCTCTACTTCTACGTGCCTTATATCATTAATTACATTAATTAAATATGAAATAATGCCGGACGTCGCCTGGCAGCTCGACTTCGGCCAAGTTTCGGCAGTCAGGCCGGACCCCCTGTTATCATCTCAAATTTCAACCGAGCCTGGCGCGGATCTGGTTGAGCATTAGCTCCCAAGCCTTCGGGGCTTGGCTGCCAGTCTTCGACCAAGCTTGACCCGTCGGAATTTTCCTACCTGGTAATGAGTTATTGAAATGTATGGGCATATTTCTTTTGCCATCAATAAATTAATACTGAGCTTCCGAATGGCTTCTATAATATGTTTTTCCCTATGAAATTAGATCTGTTGAGAATGTTGAATATTGTATTTATTGAGAATATACTAGACTAAAATTTTCAGATTGAAACAACGATTTCAATTTCTATCAATTCTGAGATATCCCATACAATCATTTTACACTAAAAACTGAATATCTTCGAAATTAATCCGTCAATTATGTGCATTTTCAATACCATCCATTGCAGTGATGAATGAAAAATCTCATTGAAATTCAAAGCTAATAGTCCGAATATTGCACCGGTGGGAAGACGAACAACAATTTGAATTGAAAAATAAAAAAAATTGAATATTTCAAAAATTTTGTACTGGCAAATAGATATGTTTCAAATCGGAACTTAATAGCTCGATTTTTGGGCGGGTGAGAGAGCGAACATTTTTTTTCTCAAAAATATAAAAGTGGCAATAAATATGATTCCTTTCA